CCAGAGTTCTCATTGCTCAGTTGAGTCTTTTGAGTATGAGTCTGGATACCTAAGGCCATTATCAAATCTTTAGTCTTCAGTATTAGTCTTCAATATCAAAATCTATTCTTGAATTCTGAATTAGGTCCAGTATTTGTATTGGGCAAAAGACTGCAACTGTCCAATTTGTAGCCAGGCACTTTACCTAAATCTCATAATAAATTGACTCGCTTAGTGAATCTACCTTTTGAATCTCCTTATTTGTCGTGTTTTATGAAGGGAACCTGCTGTTTTTCATAGGTAGGCCAAACCCCCCTACCCCCGAAAGATATCTGTATCCTAATCCCCTGTTCCTATAAATACACGAGGTTGTGGCAAAGGGAAATTAAGGTTGCAGATGAAATTCACTTTGCTAATCGACTGATCTTGGATAGGGACATGGCCCTGGATTCTCTGGTGGGCCCAGTGTGATCACAGGCGTCCTTAACAGTGGAAGAGGGAGGCAGGAGAGGTAGTATCAGAACAACGTGACCTGAGACAGACTCAGCTGCTCGTTGCTGGGTGTAAGGATGGGGCCGTGAGCCAAGGAACGTGAGCTGCCTCTAGGAGTGGGAGAAGCACAGAAGCAGGTCCCACTCAGGGTTTCCAGGTAGGAGTGTGGCCCTGCTCAGGGCTCCCCTTCAGCCCAGTAAGACCGGCACAAACTTCCAACACACAGAAGTATAAGGAAATATATTTGCGTTGAGACTCTGAGTTCATGACGATTTGTTATACCAGCAGTAGAAAATGGATATACTGGCTCGGTGCCTGTGGCTCAAGTGGCCAAGGTGCCAGCCACATACACCCAAGGTGGTGGGTTCGAATCCAGCCCGGGCCTGCCAAACAACAATGATGGCTGCAACCAAAAAATAGCCGGGCATTGTGGTGGCCACCTGTGGTCCCAGCTACTTGGGAGGCTGAGGCAGGAGACTCGCTTGAGCCCAGGAGTTGGAGGTTGCTGTGAGCTGTGATGCCATGGCACTCTACCCAGGGGGACAGCTTGAGGCTCTGTCTCAAAAAAAAAAGAAAATAGATATACTATTCTGTTTATTGAAGTTAAATAGATGTACATTACCCAATATCTTATCTTGGTTTATAATCTCAGGGTCCTTCTGAGGTCAAAAACTATAAGGAACAGTATTCTCAGATGAACTGTTTGTGTTACTATCTGTGGAAACATTAACTGTGGCTCGGCCCCTCCTCTCTCTGTACACATCTGGACTGCAGGGTCTTAGCTCTGTCCATCCCCGACTGGAGGCTCTTGTCTGCGGCAGTGTCTCATTTATTTTGTGTGGCTATCACAGAATAGCCAAGGCTGGGTAATTTATAATGAACCAAAAGTTGTTTTCTCACAGTTTTAGAGGCTGGAAGTCCAGGATCAGGGCACTGGCATCTGACTGCATCAGGCTGGACTTTACAAGGGCATCGATCCCACCCACCAGAAGGAGCCTGCCTGGCTTACTCCCCTCGTAAGGGCCCTCGCCTAATACCATCTCAGTGGGAATTAAATTTCAGCATGGATTTTGGAGAAGACACCCATTCAGACACAGCAGAGAGCATCAGTCAGAGCAGTAGCTGCTGCAGAACTGGGCGAAATGGGTGTGAACACTGATGGGAAGGGAAACTTGAAACAGATTCAAATCCAACTGAAAACGGTCGAGGGATCCAGTAGCTCCCGGTGTGCAGGGCACTGTGGCACAGTCTGTGCGTGGACTGAAGATGGGTGTTTTTTTTTTAAGAGACAGGATCTTACTGTGTTGCCAAAGATGAAATACAGTGCATCTTCACTATGGTGCCTAGTCACTATGGTGCATATCACCATGGTGCATCTTCACAGGCATGAACGTAGCTCACCGCAGCCTGGGACTCCTGGCTCTAATGATCCTCTTGCCTCAGCCTCTGGAGTAGCTGGGACAACCGGCAGGGCTCTGCACCTGTTGGAATGCTATTCTTTTGACACAGGCCTTAATTCTTGAAAAGCAGTGGGTGGATTTCTGTCCACGGTCAATCTTACTGTTACACTAATCAGTTCAGTAGCAATGTGGTTCACCATTTCTTTTTGTTGTTGTTATTGCAGTTTTTGGCCAGGGCCAGGCCTGAACCCCCCACCACTGGTATGTGGGGCCGGCGCCCTAATTCTTGAGCCACAGGCACCACCCGATTCACCATTTCTTTATTTTTACTTTTTTGCTTACTGTAGTAACCTCCAACTCCTGGTGTCAAGCAACCCTCTCACCTTGGCCTTCCAAGGTGCTGGGATGACAGAGCCAAGGTGCCTGGCCAGGATTTACAGGTTTTGAAAGAGGTCAGCTAGCTCTTCCTCAGAGAGGGCCTCAGGTCTAGGCCAAAGATCTAATAGACAAAGAAGGAAGAGAATGATGGTTAGGGCAGAACATGGCTGACTGTGCTGTCCCCACCACCCAGCTGAGGAGTGTGCTGCAGTCACAGTGCCTGGTGCCTGGGGCTGCGCTGAGGTTCTCCTGGGAAGCACCAAGCTCAGTGACAGAAGCCTGTACACTGGGGGATTCCATTTGCATGGAATATGCAGTAGGGGCAGATCCCTGGAGACAGGAAGTAGACTGTGGCTGTGTGGGGCCTGGGGACTAGTAGGGGATGGAGAGTGAGGCTGATGAGTGGAGAGTCTCCTGGGAAATAGTGAGTGTATTCTGAGATTGGTCACTGTTTTGGTTTTGGTCATGCAACTCTCGGTATACCAAAAGCATCGAATTATATAATTTAAATGGATGGAATTTTAAGTAGAGCTATTTAAAAAGTCAGCATACGAGGTCACAGCCTGGTGCCAAGTTCAGCCAGAACAGCACTGGGCTGTGGTGGGAGCAGCTTCTGGGAGGTGTCATAAGTTTCTGTGCCATGGCCTGGGAGCCCTGACAGTCAAAGATTGTTCTGTTTCCATCTCACTTCTGGAGCTTCCAGTTCCTAAAGGTCAGTGTTAAGGACTGGCTTGTTGCTCAGTGAGTGGGTGGTCCATCAGACAACTTCCGGACGTTGGGGGTTTCCACTGTTAACTTTTCTTGCAGTGCGGTTCCAGCTCCATAAGGACAGCCACGTGCACACAGGGTGGCCCTGCCCTGGTCCTCTGGGCATCCGGAGAGGCTGTGGTGCGGTTCCAGCTCCATAAGGACAGCCATGTGCACGCAGGGTGGCCCTGCCCTGGTCCTCTGGGCATCCCTTTCAGTACCCTGCGGTCTGCTCACTTACAGGAGCTCTGACCCTTTTCAGTCCGCAGTTTCACAAAGTGAGAAAACTGAGAGAATGGTCTAGCAGCGCCTCCAGGACACCCAACAAGTGAGCAGCCCTGGGATCTGAAAGGGTTCTGAGATGGCGCCCTTGTTGGGTGTGCTGCCCCTCGGCTGTGTGCTGCGTGGAGCTGGGGCTGTTAGCTCCAGGTGCTTGGAAGCCTCAGGACCCTGGCACCAGTCCCTTAGACTGGCGCCTCCGGAGCAGTGACCGGGGCAGTTGTTTCCATCAGCTCTCCTGGAGGCCCCACGGGCCAGAAGGTGGCAGCTGGAGCACATGAGGCCACACCTGCCCTCTCTGCCACTGTAGGCCACACAGAGTCAGAGCCACCCGTCTGTGTGTCCTCAGCTCCCTGTGCACTTAGGGAGAGAGGGGGCCAACCCTCAGGAGCCAGTCGCTCATGGGTCACTCCCAGTCGCCGTCTCTTGGTTCAGGAAGCCTCCAGGGAGGATGCTGTGCTGGCTACTGGTGGGAGGGTGAAGCCCACGAAGATGGACAGTGTATAGTTTAACAAAGAAGAGAGAAAAACCCTGTCACCCCATAGAAAATGGCTCCTGGGTGTGCACAGAGAAGGGATGTCTTGCTTCTAAGATGGCCTGCCCTGTCACAGGACTGCAGAGGAGGGCAGGCCGTCCGTGAGTTGGGTGGTGCCTGGCACCTGTCGGGCTCACCTGCTGCAGTGGCCTGGGAGAATGCTGGAGACTGAGCTCCGGAGGACTCTAAATGCTGGCAGTGCCTGCCTGGCCGGCTCCCCTCAGGGCGATTGAACACCTGCTGATCTGAGCACTGCCAGGGATTCCTCTTCACGGCAGCCCTGAAAAGTGGGTGTCAGTATTCCCATTTCACAGGTAAAGAAAGTGAGTTGGACCAAGTGGCTTGCTCGACGTCTCATAGCCAGTAAATGGCAGAGTTGAATTTGGATCAGCCTGTGCTCCATCTGCCACGTTGTCTTCCAAGTCACTCTGAAGAGAAAAGCTTCTGCATAAAACAGAGAAGATGGGCTTGGCACCTGTAGCTGAGTGACTAGGGCATCAGCCACATACACCGAAGCTAGCGGGTTCAAACCCAGCCCGAGCCTGCCAAACAACAGTGACAAATACAACCAAAAAATAGCTGGGCATGACGGGTGCCTATAGTTCCAGCTACTTGGGAGGCTAAGGCAAGAGAATCGCATAAGCCCAAGAGTTTGAGATTACTGTGAGCTGTGACGCCATAGCACTCTACCAAGGGCGACATAGTGAGACTCTGTCTCAAAAAAACCAAAAAAACCCAAAGAAGATGCTCAGAGTGGCATCAACTATTAGATTGAACCAGGTGGCCAGGTGAAAGTGCCATTTTTATAGGTCAGAGCAGGTAAATATCAGCCATGACATTTGGTTGAGCCAGTGCAGCAGCAGTTGGATTTGGAAAGAGAACTTACCCAGGCAGGAATGGTCAGCAGAGGGTCCATGGCGGCTGGGAATGGAGCAAGGCCTCCAAGGGTCTGTAGACTCTAGATTAGACAGAAATGAGGCGGCAGAGGGTGGGGAGGGAAGCAGGGATGGTGAGGACACAGCCTGCAGGAGCAGGTACCAGGCCCGGGTCAGGGGTGCACAGGAGGCCTCAGAGAGCAGGAGGTGATGGCAGGCAGTGCCTTGGCCCTGGGGCCCCCCGGTCCTGTGCCTCAGACAAGGTGGGGTGTGGCTGCAGCCTCCTCTCTGCTGACCCCGCCGTGCTTTCTGCAGGAAACAGGGGAGCAGATTGCCATTAAGCAGTGCCGGCAGGAGCTCAGCCCCCGGAACCGTGAGCGCTGGTGCCTGGAGATCCAGATCATGAGGAGGTGAGGTTGGAGGAGAGGGCGGGGCGGGGGGCGGGGGCCCCGCGGTGCCATGTCAAGCCCTGGAGGCCACCAGTTCATCACATCTACGAGACACAGATCTTGGTTCTGCTGGCAGGACACCAGTGGGATCGTGGGGAGAGGGGACTGTCTTGCTTCTAAGGACTTCTGCAGGTGCAGTGTTTAAAGTCCACGCTGTGCCCTGCCAGGGGCTTTCGGTCAATTGTGTTTGTTATATTAATGAGTAAGTTAAAATAGGCAGCATGGTGAATTGTCCTTTAATTCCTTCTGTCCCTTATGTTGCAAACCCTGTGGCGTGTGCCCCAGTGCTGCCCCCAGTGCTACCCCCAGTGCTGCCCCTCTGTTGCAGATGTTTGTGCCCCCAGTGTGGGGACAGGGCCCATCGACTAGACGGAGGCTGGCCTCCCAGCAGGGAGAGTGCGTCAGTAAGCACCAGGAGAGCCAGCTGAGAGGACTTAGGAGGCTGTTTCTCTGCTAGTTTCTGTTTTGTTTTTGTTTTTTTAATTTTATTTTGTTGTTGGTGCTGGTGTGTGTTTGTTTAGCAGGCCCAGGCTGGGTTCAAACCCACCAGCCCTGGTGTACGTGGCTGGCACCCTAACCACTGAGCTACAGACGCCGAGCCAGTTTTTGTTTTTTTAAGTGACAGGATCTTGCTCTGTCAGCCAAGCTGGAGTGCAGTGGTGTCATCATAGCTCAGGGTATCCTCATACTCCTGGGCTCTAGCCATCCTCCTGCCTCAGTCTTCCCAGTAGCTGGACTATAGGTGCAGCCCCCACACCTGTAGAGATGGGGTCTTGCTGGCCTAGAACTCCTGGCCTCAAGTTATCCTCCTGCCTCAGCCTCCCAAAGTGCTGAGATTACAGGGGTGAGCCACCTTGCCTGGCTTAGCTGGCCCCTTAAAAAGGAGGAGACACCACCTTCTTTGCCCATTTACAGCTACCCACTTTGAATGGCACGAGATTGGACGTCACCCTGCCTTCTCTGGTTTTAGAAGCAGTTGTGCAGTGCAGTAGGCTGGGGCACTCTAAAGAATGCTACATCACTCAGGACGCACTCAGGGTCCCCGAGTTGACGGTGCTGGCTGACCCAGCGCCAAAGCCTCTTGTCTGTCCAGGACAGACAGGTTGCTCCAGGCCTTTGTGGTGAGGCGAGCTCAGCTGAGCCCTGGAGAGAGAGGACAGGTCTGAACAGAAGCTAGAGTTCCACCTGACAGGCTTTTCCTCCTTCCTAGGCTGAACCACCCCAATGTGGTAGCTGCCCGGGATGTCCCCGAGGGGATGCAGAACTTGGCCCCCAATGACTTGCCCCTGCTGGCCATGGAGTACTGCCAAGGAGGGGACCTCCGAAAGGTGAGGCTTCTGAGCAGGGGTGAGATACTGGGTGGGGAAATGGGGGGACCTCACCCCTGCATCATCAGGAAGCTCAAGGAGCCACAACGGTTCTGGTGGGCGCTTCCCTCCTCGGCCCCCCTCTTCTGAGCCCTCTCTGCCATGGTGTGTGTGTGAATCAAGAGACTGAATCAGAAGTGCTTATGAGAAAGGGAGGGGACAGCTTTCTGTACATTCTGCTCTGAGATGACCAAAGCGACAGGGAAAAACCATCCCCAGGTCTGGCCCTGGGGAACTGGGCACGTTCCAAAACAAACCTTCCTCCCTCAGCATGTCAGGGCCACTTTAATCCTTCAGTGTCAGCCCTGCCGCTGTCCTTATTAGGAGGGACTTTCCTCCACAGATGTGGCAGTCCCACACTCAGGGTCAGGAGTGGAGCAGGAAGGGAGCAGGCTGAGTAATCAGGCGCCCGGCCGGGGCTCCAGATCCACCTGATTTGCCCGAGGACTGTGCTTGCTGCCCTCTTTCCTGAGACGCACACTTCACGTGGTGATGGCAGCCCTCCCTCCTGATGTCACAATTCAGAATTCCCTTGCACACCTTACCTCATTTGATTTTTAGCAACCCTGTGATGGTGGTGGACAGATGAGACCCCACGTTAGGGACAGAGGTTGTCAGGGCTCTCCCAGCGGCAGGCCCAGAGACCACAGCCCACCTGCAGGCCACATCTCCATCTGTGAGACTCAGCAGTGCCGTGTTAAATTACGAAACGTTAAAGCTATGAACAAAATATTTATTAGTTTATATAGAAAAAGAGCTTGCTCAGTGAGCAGAGCTCCTTTCCCCTCTTCTCTTGGGAAGCCCGTGATGTCGGGGCATAGGCAGGGGGTGCCCAGGCGTCTCTTCTCTCTTTACCTGGCAGTTTCCCAGATGGACATAACGTGCTATTCTTACTACTACTCTGGGCCCTGTACCTTCTTTTTTTTTTTTAAAGGAAACTTTCCATGAGGGCTGACCTGCCCGGGTGACTCCCTGGGTGAGCGTGTCCGGGGTGGTGTTCACAGCAGGATGTGAACACAGTTGCTGGCATGGCCCCTGATGAGAAACGGGGAACTTTGACAGCTCTTTAGTTCTCTTCTTTATTTTCCTAACCTTTGACAATCAGCCAGTTACTAACTGCAGTTTTGGAGAGATAAAACTTGTGCCATTGTCGTTGAGTGGAGAGTCCTTAGTGGGCAGCTGTGGGAAGTTGGCGGGATACAGTCAGATTACAGTGGGCTCCAGAGCAGGGCAGAGGTATTTAGACTTGGTCTTCTAGGCGGCAAAGAGCCAAGAGGCCAGGGAAGAAAGAAGAAGAAGAGAATTTCAACAGGACTGACCTCGTGTGGGTTGCAGAGTGGTCGATGGGTGGGGGGTTGCTTCCAGAGGGGGCCTCTGTCCCATTGTCCAGAGGGGTGCTGGGTGAGGGCACTGCGGCCCAGAGCTTGTGTGATCTGTTACTTCCCTAGTTCTCCACATGAGTTGGCCTGTCTTTGCTTACTCTAAAAAGTAAAAACCTACGCCCCATGGGCTCTGAGAGACAAGCTTGGCTGGCGCATGAGGGAACATAAGTCAGAATTGATTTTAAAAGTCTGTGTGTCATGTAGGTGGACAGATTCTTGAACATTTATGAATATAAATGATTACTACTGACTGTAAGCCTCAGATGGAAGTTACATCCCTGCTGCTGCTTCTTCTGAGGCTGCCTTCAAGCCTCCGTGGGGCAGACGGTGGGGAGGCGGCCCAGGGCTAGCTGTTAGGCTCCAGCATCAGGTGCACTTGGCCCCCGCTGTCCAGCGCCACCCTCCAGCAGCTGTGTGCACTGACAGATGTGTGGGCTGCTTGCCAGTTTCCTCTTGTCTGCAATGGAGAGTGCAGCTGTCCTCTCCTCAGGGGCGGTGGTGAGGATTCAGTGGGGTAATGCCGGCAGAGCTTCACTGAGCTGAGCCTTGTAGAGTGTGGCCCAGTGCCAGACACGATAAATGCTGAATTAATAAATAATACCTGTTGAATATTCCGAGCCACCATCATCACGCCAGGTAGCAAGCAATGTCAGAGAGTGGTCAGAGGGTGTCTCCAGTGAGTTTATGGGACACCCAGGGGCAGAGAATCCGTTGAGGGTGAACGTAGACTCTGGCTCACTTCATTCAGAGTTACAGCAGCACGTGTGACTTGGACATCTTCCACCTTAGAATGACCCAGACACCTGCAGCCAAGACCAGTGCTGAGTATGTGAGGCCCCAGGGTTCTCAGAACCGCCATTGCTATGGCTACTGCCCTTCGAACTTGCTGGTGGTCTGTGATTGTTCCATCTGATGCTTCTTCTCCACTTCCCAACAGTACCTGAACCAGTTTGAGAACTGCTGCGGCCTCCGGGAAGGCGCCATCCTCACCCTGCTGAGCGACATTGGTAAATCCCAACCTTGGCCATCAGGCCGTGGCCTTCGGGGGAGTGTGTGGTACCCCTGTGAGTCCTTGTAGAGCACAGAGGGGAGACACATTGGTCCTCCTATCTTTGCGGAGGGTGGGAAGGGGGTGCTGGGCAGGGAGGTCAGCAAGGGCTAGTCAGGCAGGCGCTGAACTCAAATAGATTCCCCTTCCTTCCTGATGAAGTCACCAAGTGAATTATGTATATAGAATAACGGGTTTCCTTTCCCATTAAAAAGCTCCACTCCCTACTTTCCTGGAAGCAGTGGACTAGGCTGTCATCGGAGTGCATTTCGTCCCTTGGCAAGGAACTTTTCCGCTCCCACATTGGAAGGTCCCTGCCACCACTGTCATAGGAAAAAGTGCCTTGGTTGAGTCCTTTTGTATTGTAGGAGTCCTCAGAGGAGGGTCTCTGCGCACCCCCTGCAAGGCCTGTTGGTCTGGGGAAGAGTGAATAGCTCAGCATGGGGAGGGCTCAGTCCTAGAGGGAACTTAGAGGAGTCTCTGAGTCAGCACCTGGCTCTGGCCTAGGGAAACAGACAACAGAAGTGAGAGACACTTGCTTGGGGCTTTTAAAAGAAATCTCCAAGGTTGCTGGTAAAGCTGATAGTCTGGGGTCTACCAGGGCTGTCCAGTCCTTTGGCTTCTCTGGGACACATTGGAAGAAGAGTTGTCTTGGGCCACGCATTAAATGCACAATGGAAAGCTGATGAGCAAAAAAAAAAAAAAAAAAGCTCTGTGCATAATTTTCGTGGTATCTGCCACCACTGATAAGGGGAAAGTCCTCGCATAGTCGGCACACAGCCCACGGGTGCAGGGGGGACACCCTGGGAGTTTTCCAGGTTTGTCTTTGATTTAGGGAATATTCCCACATTTGTTCCTCCCTCTACCCCAACCTCTTGAAGCTGTATATAACTTTCTGTTTGCTTAAACTTTTTCTATTGAAAATTGTCAAATACACAGAAAAGTTAAGAGGATCATGAAACTCAAAGTACCCTGCACCTAGGCCCACTTGGCCCCAGTCATACAGCCGTGTTCCCTGGCACTCGGCCTGGAAGGACAGGTGGTCCTCCAGTCCCTCGAACAGTTGGCCTTGCTGGAGTGGGTCTGCCTCTTCCCCACTCAGCTTCTTTTGACTGATGACGTGAAGGGGAAAGAGTTACGCGGTGACGTTTAAGGCTCAGATCCAAACAGTCTGCACAAAATTCCTGTCTGGCTGTGTCTCCTGTGTCTGTCCCTGTGAGTGGGGTTCACATAGAGGGCGAGCTGACGTTACACCGGTTTTATCTCACTTGAGTGGGTGTCCACAGCTGGCCTACAGCTTCCTCTGTGCACTATGCCACATGGGTCTCCTGGAAGGGCCTTCTCAGTTCTGCCTGGAAGAATTTCTGCTGCACAAGTCAGTTATCCAGACTGTTACCTTTTCTTTTTTTTTTTTTTTAATTGTTGGGGAATCATTGAGGGTACAACGAGCCAGGTTGTACGGCTTGCATTTGCTGGGTGAAATCTCTCTGTTAATAGTGTCCCACCCCAAGAGGTGTGTCACACACTGTGGCCCATTTTCTTGATACCTGGCCACGTGGTCTGCCCATCCACGTTCCCTCGACTGTATCTTTTATACCTTTATGCTTTTCTTAGATCTCTGTTGGATTGGGTTTGAGTCAGGTTTGTAGGTTGGTGAATATTCTTTTGCTCTTCATGGGCAACTTTTAACACAGTAGAACGTCCATAGGTGACCACCTTCTTCCTACATTGACTGCCTTCTTAAGTTGACCTAATTTTCATAGACCGGGGTTGCACCATGTGTACGTATCAGTACAGTGGGGCTAGTCCCTTGCGTTGACCAGTTTGTTACAGTCTGCTGGGTGGTCAACTTACAGAGGTTCTACTACATTTTGTTTCTCTTTGGTTAGTACTTTGCCAAGTGCTAACTTTAGCTCTCCCATAGGTGGACAGAAATTCTATACATTTTTTTTTCTTCCCTCTGACCCCAAGTTGGAAATAATACTTTGAAGTATTTGTACACTAGAATTAAAACCTTTTCTCCTTTTTCTTTTTCTTTTTTTGAGACAGTCTCATTTTGTTGCCCCTTGGTAGAGAGTTGTGGTGTTATACCTCGCAGTAACTTCAGACTCCTGGTCTCAAGCACTTTTGTCTTGCCTCAGGTCCCTTCCACAACACCCAGCTGTTTTTTGAGGCAGGGTCTCATTCTAGCTCAGGCTGGTCTTGAACTCCTGAGCTCAGGCTATCCGCCCACCTCGGCCTCCCAGAGTTCTGGGATTACAGGCGTGAGCCGCCGTGCCTGGCCTAAACTTTTTTTTTTTTCCTATAAGACAGTCTTATTCTGTTGCTTAGGTTAGCGTGCTGTGTTGTCATCTTAGAAATTCCTGGGCTCAGGCGATCCTCCTGCCTCAGCCTCTCACAGTGCTAGGATTATAGGTGTGAGCCACCAAGCTGGGCCTTGGACGTCTGTTTTACGAGCTGTAAATGGTGGCAGTGCTTGCTTCCTTAGAACATGGTAAGAGTGATGTGTGATGGTGCTCCCAAAGCCCGGAGCTCAGTCTCTGTTCCCAGCACAATGCACGGTCACACGTGCCAGCTCCTTTCTCCTTTCCTCCCCACCCACCTCTGGATTTGGCCTCTCAGTGTCCCTTTGGAAAAGCCTCAGGCCCTTACTGGGTTATGACCTGGGCTGGATCCAGTGGACCAGATAGGTGGCTATCTTACGAGTCTTCCCTTCCCAAAAATGGTGAGTTGTCCTCAGACCCGTCCCCACCTCAGTCACATCTCCTGATTTGGGAGTTGAGTTGAGGTTGCCCGTAAATGTGTTTCACTTCCATTTTCATTCCGATTTGTTTATGAGGTCCATCAAATTTATTTCTCATGACTGAGCCAGAGCTTAAAAGCTTTTCTTGGAGATCAAACCTAACTATTTTGTATTTTCAAACATTTCCTGAGCATATTTTGGTCCAGTTTGTTCTATCTGGCAGAGAACAGCAGTGGCAACTGCAACAGAGGAAGTGTGGGGCCCGCACTTGGAACAAACTTCAGATAAGTGGCAGAGCCGCACCCTTGACTGCTGGTCCAGACTCAATGCCTTCTCTTCTGGGCTACACCTGCTGGCCCCTAATCTCTTCTGTGCCATTAACCTCCCAGAGGCGAGTGCTCAGAACTGCATCAAGGTAGAGAGGTAGATACAGTTTTTCCAGTGAAACTTTAAATTGCCCAAGAAGATGCTGCAGGGTCCATGTGAAAAAGTAAGCAGACCCTGGCCTGCACAGGGGTGCTGTGCCAGGATGAGCCTGGTAGACCACTGCCTCAGGGGTGGCCCCCTGTGCTGCTCCAGGACGAGCCTGGTAGACCACTGCCTCAGGGGTGGGCCCTGTGCTACACCAGGATGAGCCTGGTAGACCACTGCCTCAGG